CCCCCCGCCAACCTTACCTTGCATGCAGTCAATGTGAATTATCAAAAGAGTTGGGATTGTGCAAATACATATTTTCATTTGCAAAAAATCCGCCAAAAGTTAATTGTTTAATATAATTTAATATTTTTCATACAATAAAGTTAATTTTTAAAACGAGCTCATTTATACTTTACCAGCATGAAATTCTATTTTCTGAATAAATTATTTGATATTTGTCAAATTAATTATGAAATTATTCAAAGCTCACTGTTAGTTAGTTCTTATCTAGAAGTCCTAGTGGAATTAATTAAAAGAACCTGATAAGGGTTTCTCAGTTAAATTGAATTAAAACTTTGTAAATTAAGTCAGTATTAAAAATAAATGTTTTATTAATTTTTAATTGTTTCCAGTGTTCATGAAATCATGATTTTTGGTTACCTCAATCTACTCTTCTCCTTCGATTTCATTTCCTACTTAATATCTGAATAGTTTGTTTTTAATGTTTGATTAGGCTTTGTTTATAAATAATCTAAATTTTCTATGATAAAATATGTTTTTTATGTATCTATCTAAATAAACTGAGCTTAAACCTTTATAATCCCGATCGCTTAATCTGAATATCCAATGTGGTCATTTTTAATTTCCTTCTTAATCTGCTCTTTTTCTTTCTTTTTTTCTCTCTGCCAGTTTCCAACCAATAAAATGTTCATTTATTCAATGGCGCGCAAAATTTCAAATTTTTAAGCACAAACTATGATTTTCCATTCCCTATATCTCTGCAACTCAATCTCGTAGACCTTAAATATTTCAAACTTTGAATTCTGTTAGTTCTAATCATCTAAGTTTGAAATATCAAAAGTGTACAACATCCGGTCGCACAGTTATTGGGATTTGTGGCAAGGACTCAATTCCTTTATCATGAAATTGACAAAAAGAGAAGATCAGACATTGATCTCGATACCCACAGACCACAATTCTAAAGTTTACAGCTCTGTACATATCATATTATTATCTGTACACTAGAAATATTTATCTCAAATTAGATTATAGTTTCAAGCTTGAACGCCAAAATACACAAATAATACTTGGTACACCTAAACCATATTTGTAAAACTGGTGCTGTAGACTTGTCTGTACAATTCTGAATATTCTCTGGTTTAATTTAAAATGTAAACATTGAAGTATAATCTGTATAAACTGGTTTACAGGATGTTTACTCCATGTAAACAGTTTCAATATTGGAACATTTTTCGTTAAGTTAAATTTTAGGATTTTATAATAAAGATTGAAATTTTATTAAATCATTTATTAGGTTCAGAGAATATTCATAAACCTTTCATTTCTGCCGTCACGGAAAGTCACAGGAAAAAAATTTTCTAGAATAAAAAACCCGAGGTCGAATTTAAAGAATTTGAGCCGCGTTTTAAATTTAAGCCACGGCTCAAATTGTGTTGGTTCCACTTAAATTTTTCAAGATTTAAGCCGGTTTTTCGGGGATTTCAGACACGGCTTAAATTCATTAAATTCGGACACTGGAATATAAACTTTAGTAAAAAGTCCCAATTTTCTGAAGTCCTAAAACAAAATGGCACTGGAAATAAAGTCCCGAGTTTTAGATTTCTGGGACTTTTTCCTAAAAGTCCGATGTCTTGCAGGAAAAATGAGGTCAGGTCTAAGACGTTTTAATTAAAGGACTTTTCTTTCTTTGAGACTAAAAGATTAAAACTCTAGACTAAGCTTTTTAAATTTAAATTTAAATTTGAAAATTGTATCTCTATAACAATTTTAATTCTAAACTTGTATCTCTATATCAATTTTAATCGAAAACCTGTATCTCTATACCAATTTTAAACCTGTATCTCAATACCAATTATACTAGTTTTAATTGGAATTATTCTCATTTTTGAAATCATAATTTAATCATTAAAGTTTCACATTTGAGTAGTGAACAAAAGAGAAAAGGAAAAAAAACTTATTGAACATAATTTTTGTATTTATTTATGTATTTCGGACATTTAATGTATAGGGTTTATTAACAATTGAGTTATACATTGACAGTTTTCTGACACAATTATAATTATATATAATTGTAAAATAAAGTAGGCTTTATTCTTTGTTTATACTTGTAGTTTATCCAGTAGAAAAATAATGTTATTCAATACTTTTCAACTTTACAAGATTCTTAGATCTTTCTTCGGAAACTGAAATTAAAGCTGCCTTTTTCGGTGCATGTTTAATTTAATAAATTTAGAAATAGATGTTGTAAACAGTTTTTACAAACAATTTGTTCCCCAAATGTTTTCTAGTATTTTGTAAAACGATGTAAAAAACATTAAAATTAAGGTCTGCAGTGAGTCCTATAAAACTTTAGAATAGGAAGACGACTGTTACACAGAACTTATGATTTTAGATAGATTTTAGAACATTAAACATAGTGCAGTGTACACAGACCCATTTCATCACTTAATTCACGTTAAAATAATGTAAATTGCACATTAGATTGAAATGTTAACTACTCTTATCGAAGAGCTTCTCATGAAGAAAAATAAATTTTGATGAGCTACGAAGTAACGAAGTTGTATTACAGTAATATTGTATAAAGGATATGAGTCTTGGCCACAACCTCCAATCTTCTAATCCCTATATCTTATCAACCTGATGGTTTATACCTTTTATATTTCAAACTTAGATCATTTGATCAAACAGAATTCATAGTTTGAAATAACTAAGATCTACGACATTGGGTTGCAAAGATATAGAGATTAGACACTCAGAGTGATTGGCAAAGCCTAAATTCCTTTGACCTTTTTCTCATTGAGTCTAGTAAGTTGATTTTCAAGCTTCAAGCCTAGCGCTTAGGATATAAAAAGGATATAAAAACACATGAGATTGCTCAAGAATCATCGTTCTATTCCATAGTTTTATGGGTCCCACGTATATGCTCTCTATATAGAATAATAACAAAAATACTTCTAACCGGGTTTTAAACATGATATAGTTTGCGCTGAAGGTACATTTAAAGCTTGGACTCTAGATCCTGGGTAACAAAATAACCCTGATCTGGGACTTGGACCTGAACTTGAGGTTGGAGCACTTGCAGGCCAAGGGGCATATCGTGGTCCTTAGGGGCCCGGCAGGACATTGATAAGGTCCTTGATTTCTGTAAATGCGGACAAATATGGTTCTTTGTGTCCTTAGAGGGGTTGTTCAGTTCGTCCTGAAACTTGACTGTTTTCCGTTTGGGTTTGAGAGAATGAAACCGAACTGCTGAATCCTGGTCCTCGGATGGGAAATCGTTGATTGAAAATGAGGATCTCAGATTAGAATTCCGACCACATCTGAAACAAAATATGAAAATTTATTTTATCTAAGGGATGGTTCAATTCAACTCTTTTAGAAAAACCACATGATAACTCAAATTTTGGAATAAGGAGCACAATATGGTTTAAATGTTTTTTTTGCAGTTAAGATAATATAAATTCTTTAAAACGAAAATTTATTTCAAATTATTTACGAGGACAAATATTTATAAAAACCGCAACAATCCCATCGTGTATTTTTGAATTGGGAAAATTTGGATAAAATTGAATGGGTTTGGATGGGAGTGGAATCATAATTATTTGAAAATTAATCAGCAATATTTTTATGTCGATTCTATTTTTCCGTGAAGAGAATTTCAAAAATTCATCAAGCAAGATTTGATCCAATATTTACTTAATATTAAGTTAGTCACTTTTTTCATCAATTTATGAACATTCTAGGCAAAATGTTTTCTCTATGACTATATTTATTCGCAGAAAAATATTTATAAAGATACCCCCTCCCCCGCCCCTGTTGGGATTTCAACTCCTTAAAACCTTTACTTTGTTAAATTCACAAAATGTATAAAATACATGAATACATTTTAGGGTTTTAAAATGAGCCTTCATCATTAAAGTGTCCTATAGTTCTTGAATTCTGATTTGTTGTATTTGTAATCTGAAACTTGCAGAAATTTACAAACGTTTAATGTTGTGTAACATGTCAAAGACTTGATGTTGATTGCAGTTGATTCATATGTTTAACGCTAGGTGGTGTCATCATTTTGTTAAATGTGCAAATTATTGGATTCAATTATATGGAAATCTTTTAACGCATTATGCTTCAGTCGAATATATTTTTACCATCCATGTGTTCTTAATGTTTGTTGCAATACCTTTTTTTAAATGGTGATATTATTGTAAATAGTTTTGATAATTATATAAATGAAAACATTCTTTAATTTAGGGACGTCCAGGTCCTTGTAGTCTAGATCAGCAATCATTTTTTAAGATCTCTTACAGAGATTGATAATATTTTACTAGCTATATCATTTAATGTAAGAATAAGCATTAAATTCTTAATTCAATAAAACGAAACCATAATGTAAAGAAAAACAGTGAAAATTTTGACATTCATGTACATGTATGTACTACCTGACAGTTGCTAGTTGTAGTGCTGTAAAGTTGATATCTGAGTACTGAACCGGCGGCTGGAACTTTTCACTTCCTGGGGACCGGGGTTTTTCAGAATCAGCCAACGGTCCCACGGTGTCAGTGCACTGTGCTAATGCTCCTGCAGTTTCATGAAACTGTAAACTTGCATATTGTGTGCCAGAAGAGAATGTATCAATACTTGGTTCAAAACTTGAATATGTTGACTGCCCCCAATCATCTCCAGGTGGACCCCAGTCCTCTCCGGACAAAACAAGGGACTGGTCATTGTGTTTTCCCCAGTCCTCATGTACCAACTCTTTGCAGCTCAAATCCTCTATAGAGTTACAGTCATTCACTAAATAATGAAACAACAAATCAGAAAATAATCTTTTCATTTAAAAATGCTATGATAGAAAAGAATCATTTTTTATTTAGCGTTTTCGAAATACTTTTTTATGCAGCTGCTTCTGCTACAGTTTTTCTTTTATTGAAATAATTGCAATATAAACTTTCTTAAAGTTTAAACTCATTTATTAGAAAGACTTCTTAAATAAGGAAGTCAAAAAGAGGAAAAGGAGAAACGTATAAATGGCGTAATTTGGTATATAGGGTATAATGTAGTTATATAATCAAATAATTACCTGGAAAGTTAAAGTTTGGTATAATATCCGGGTTGGAAGTTGGGGAATCGCAATTATTTGGTTTAGCTTGGAAAAAATGCTGATGATGTCGTCTTCCTTTCTTGAGAAAAACCGCAAGTGCTACGGAGAAGAGCGCCAAAATTGAAAATATTCCGACTAGGATACCAACAATGGACAGAAACCTAAACAGAAACTGAGTTCATCAATTCATCCACATTATTTCTCTTACTTCAGTATTTAATTTCCACTTTCTCAAAAACCAAATTTTGTCAATTGCCTTCAACTTTGCAATCTCAAGGTAAAAACTTTTGATATTTTAATCAATTTAACCATGCAGAGCTCCAAGTTTGAAATATGGGCAGGTTGCAAAAATATAAAAATTTGAAAGTTTGAGACTAAGAAACCTAGTATTTTTTAATTAACTCGATTTTATGTTTTAAGAATAATTGAAATGATGTAAAATAAATAACTTTTTACTTTCACATTGCCCCCCCCCCCTCCCTGATACGTTACCGAACAACACAATCATGTCTAAAAGTTACAATATATATATTGGTTGGAATGATGGAGGAAAACAAAACTTTGCTGTGAAGTTTAACTCTGAAAAATGTTTATCTTTTACTCCTAGGACAGTTGATTCGGCTCCCCGTTGCATCAGTATTAGCATTAATTTGAAATAAAAATTTCAACTTTCCAGACTTCACAAACCAACCATAGGGTAATAAATTATAAACATAAACAATTGACCCTGTCATATAAAATCACAAATGGCACCCAGGCCTCAATATAGATCTTAAAATAAGTGACATTTTAATGAAGCAAACATATTTTTTCAACAATAGGAATTTAGAATTAGCTTCTGTTATTCCATGATAATTTTAATCATTTTCCAACCTCGATATAGCTGAGTAAACTATAAAAGATATAATGAGCATTGGCGTACGAGAGCATTTTTTAGTGTGCGGGGGGTGCACAAAAAAATATTGTGCACCCCCCTTTGGCAATACTGTTCCCCCCCTTAAAAATACCTTTTTTGAAAAAATATTGATACCTTTTCTAACTATGTAAACTTTTCGACCATATAAACACTTCCATATTACAAGTGTTAATAAATTATTTATGTAATTTTCTTAAGTGGACTCATCACTTGCAAGAGTATTTATTAGTAAAGAAAAGAAGAAACACAACCTCTCCTATCTGCGTTATCATTGATAAGCACACAATCTTTGACTCTATGGGATTTATTTAATGCAATTTCCCAAATGTACATTTAGGATTAAGTTAGGGTTTCTAAGGCGTTGCAGGCTGGAATTTGGGCCGAGCGCTGCAGCAAAGACACTTGAAGACTTGGAAAATTACACATTTGGAAAGTTGCCACTAGATAAAAAACCCTTGGGAAGTTATCGGTTGGGAAAATGCCTTTGGAAAAGTCTCTAACATATAAAACTGACCTTGCTGAATTGCTAGAATCCTTCTCAGTGCTCGCTGCCAGCTGCTTATCATTAGCCCGGAGTGTAAAGGCATCCGTCCTGAAGGGTTCAGAGATAATTCCGTCCTGCTCCACCAGGACCTGGAGTAGGAAGTCCCTGGAGGCTGGAAGATCTGTGAAGGTGAGCTGGGTTGAAGAGCTGGAGATGTTTCTCACGAGCTTCAAGGTCTGAGCATCGAATACCTGGGGGTCAAGGATAATAAATAAAGGATGGGAGAGCAGAATTGGAAAGGAATTGAGTTTGTCACAAACTCAAAGTCGTTAATCCTTATATTTTTGAAACCAGGTTGATGTAAACCTTAGATATTTCAAATTTGGTCTATTTGACATAGTAGAATTCTTACTTTGAGATATCAATGGTCTACGACATTACGTTTCAAATATATAGGAATTACAAAATCAGAGTTTGTCATGAAAACTGGTAATTTTTGTTTTAAATGTCTAAATTACATTTGTAAAAAGTATTATAACCAGCCAGAGTCTAAAACTAAAGAATGCGCGAATTTTAAGTTTGAGGTTAAAAGTTCTGTAAAATAATGAATAGCTACTTAAATATTAAACTTTCTCAATTTTAAATTTGAATTTCCCAGGAAAAATCTGAACCAATCAGAGAAAAGGATTTAAAGAATTATTAACGTAACTATCGGTAATCAGCTGTTTTTTTTTTAATTTCAAGTTATTTACGTGACAGAGAACAAAACATATATCTAGTTACAACCGTAATTTGGGTTTACGTGCAAACATTAATTAATCTAAAACGTGAAATTTATTAAATCAAGGTTTATACTTTTAAATATATCGTAATTCGTTGAATGCCGCTTACCGCTGAATGATGATTATTTGACAAATAGGGATTGTGGGATTTCAAGAGTTTAACCCTGTGTTTAAAGTTTAACTCCTCGATTTCGGCGAGTTAAACATTTAACCACAGGGTTAAATATTTAACCTCATGGTTAAAGTTCAGGTTTAAATTAAGTCAGAAGTGGCATTTAACCATGAACTTAAAATTTAAGTCAAAACTTTTCGTTCTTTAGTTTTAGACTCAGTACGTTTAATATTAATGAAACTGAGTTATTGCCACAAACTCGGATTTCGTATGGATAGATAGATAAACGGAAAAACTCAAATTTATGCGACATTACTTTGCTCAATTTTAAATTTGACTTGGAAAAGACAAGATATTTTTTATTATCATTCCTGAAAAAGAATGTTTGTATGCGCAGATTGTTCAGGTTCAGATTGTGGAGAGGGTTGAGAGGGTAGAGAGGGTAGACTGCAGGATACAGAGAAGGAAGTAAAAGTTTGATTAAAACAGGAACATGAACTCACCCCAGAAACAGAGAAAACTGAATAAAAAATATTATTTAAAGAAAATTAGATATATCTTTAATAAAGAAAAAAACTGTCATAAAAAATTAAATAAAAACTTTCAAGTAAGTGTTGAACAATATAATAACATAAATTACAAGGAATTTTTTAATATTTCTGACGATGTAAAAAAAGGTTTTTAAATTTTACTTTACACAAAAAGAATATATAAAAAAGTATTTTTTATAGATTTTTGAAAAGTGTTGAAAATATTTTATAAAGTAAAAAACAATACTTTATTAATATTCTTGACTATTTTTATTATGCTTGATTTTCTATAAAACTAAAAGTAAAAAGACAATATAAATATATTCTATATTGTTGACCTCTCAGTGTATGGTGTTTAAGTGTTCTGATGTTAGGATATATATATATATATATATATATATATATATATATACCCTCAGTAAATTGCAGAATCGGGGTTTACATCAAAGACTGGGAAAATATAAAATAGAAAAGTCTAGATCAGGCATCTTACACTCTCATTGTTACTTTACACCAAATACTGAATTATTTTCTGAACCTGCTAATTTTTATTTTCATTTTTTGGGGAAAAATACCAAGGAATTCATCACTCTTATATTCTAATCTAATCTTTGCAGCCTGATGTCGTTAACCTTAAAATGTACGTCAACCTAGGAATTCTGGTAGATCTAAAAGTAAAGATTTTAAGTATCAAATGTTTACACCATCAGATTGCAAAGGCAACTGGGATTAGAAAACTGGAATAAGAGGCCAGTGATCAGTTTTGCTTTATTTATTTTCGCGAAAAAATGCGAAATTTTGCGAAAAAGTTTTCGCATTTTTTTCGTGAAACGTTTCGTTCGCTGGAAACCCTAGCTGCAGTAAAAGGTACTGTTGTTGTATTTACAAATAACCCTCCATTTAAAAGGGACATGCCCTATTCACTACGGTACAAGCCTTTAACCAGCAGAATCCGCAAACCACTTTTATAGAGAAACAACACAAAAAAAACGATTTCACATTCACCTTGATCAGACAAATTTGTTAAAGGATACGGTTGTGAATCGGACATATAATTTTATTAATGGAATGTCACTTGAAATTACGTCGGAAAACCCTTTAAATATTTAAAAATTTTACTTAGGGCAAAAAATGGAGCATATGTTCCTAAATCGTGATTTACCCCAGTCTAACACCAAGTGATCCCTCAATTTTTGGATTTTAAAAAAAGACAGTTCATTTTCGTAGCTTTTTTACCTTTTTTCTTAATCTTGAATCTGCAGGGTTGTGAAAACTGATTATCCATGTTGTTTAGAGCACACTCCAGTGTTCCAAGATCCTCATCAGAGCTCAGGGTATGAATTAGAGTAGAGGCTGCTCCGTTAGACTCAACCAGATGATTGGGGACCTGGAGCTCAGATCCGTCCTGGTTGTAGAAAGTCCAGATAAAGGATTGATGTTCTGGTTTAGAACTCATCCTGCACTCTAACCTGAGACTGGAGTCCATAGCTCCGAGTACTGTTGTAGTAGGTGTAGGTAAAGAGCAGGTCGGAGAATCTAAAAAAATAAAATTTACAATTAATTAAATTATATAAAGGAATTGAGTGCCCCAAACTCTGATTTTGCAACCCAATGTTGTTGACCTTTCAACTAAGAATCAAATAATCTGAATTTCATATATTAAAGGTAATAAAGTGATAAGAACAATTCAAGTTTGTGTCAAAGACTCAATCCAACTAACCCAAGTGATACAAAAAAATTCCCGATTGTATCCAATTAATACCAATTTTTACCCAAGGGAGAGGGTGGGGACGGTTTTGTATTTTAGAGGGTCAGGGGGGGCTGGTTTTGTATTTTAGAGGGTCAGGGGGGGCTGGTTTTGTATTTTAGAGGGTCAGGGGGGGGCTGGTTTTGTAAAATCTTCCTCTTAAAATGCATTTGCTTCGTGTTTCTTGATGAAAATATATTCTAATAATCTTTTAATTTACAAATGTATCCATGCAAATTGTAGCTTGAACTGATTTATAATCAATTCAATTTAAAATTACTTTTCCCGTTCTTGAAAATCCTGTAAATCTCCAATATATCGTACTTTCAAGAGGTCATAGCGTACATAAGTTATATGTAGATATATTAATAGATTTTAATGACCATTAATCAAAGATTTGGGGGCGCCGCCAGACCGCCGAAGTATTTATTTTGTCTCTGTTTTGTTTATAAAATACCCATTTAAAGAGTTTTTGCGGAAATTATCCGTGTTAAACTTCCGTGGGATTTTAGAGCTTCAATGCAACATAACTACGACTTAAATATCTCAAAAGATATTGTTTAAGCGCCCGAGGCTTCATTGACTTGAATAAGAGGCTTATGGTATTATCGAACCTGAGAATGTTGGTGATTGTCAACTTATCGTTGTAAATCTTTATATTTTTCTCCATCATAGTCTCCAGGTCCTGGCCCTATAAATCAAAGGACTGTTAACGATTTTCTAAGTTTGTAGATTTCCAACTTTTTAAAGGGAGACATCTTGATCTTAGGTTTTGAAAACTTGATTGCACGAAAAACTAAAATAAATGAGATAAACTATAATAAATAAGATAAACGATAATAAATAAGATAAACTATAATAAATAAGATAAACTATAATAAATAAGATAAACTATAATAAATAAGATAAACTATAAATAAACTATAATAAATAAGATAAACTATAATAAATGAGATAAACTATAATAAATAAGAAAAACTAAAATAAATAAGATAAAAATCTTGTAGTTTTTTAATCATAACTACTCTCATAAATGAGCAATTGAGAAGAACTCAAATGTTTGAATTTATAATATATAACCGAAAAATTAGATTTTTTCATATTTATGCGTGAAATCAAAGCTACGAGGTCACAAAGTGATACCTGCAGTAAAGGCGCATAAATCATTATGTCTATAGTTTGCAGTAAAAGGGTGATAGCCCAACTTCTAACAAGGATTGAACAATTAAAAGTTAAGTTTATATATAACCGGATGGATATTTGTGTACAATAAAAAAATCTTTGTCTCTAGTTTCTAAAGATAATAAAACCGGATTAGCTTGGGGAGATTTCTTGAGATATTTATAAAATGATATTATTAACCTATAAAACCATATTGTTTGGAACTAAATACAATGCCTGGGACAATATATTAGAAAAGCTGTATACTTGTCTAAAACAATATGTAAGAAGTAAGAACTAAACATGTAGAATGTATACTATACAAGCTTAGAAACCCAGCTTTGCCTTGGGTTTTCCCTAAAAAAGGTCCCTAATCAAAATTGAAGGCAAATCGGCTAAGGGGTTAATGAGTTATGATCTAACATCCAAACAGAGATTACTTCTTTACTTATATGCTTTGAACATCCAGCCCAGCCTGGAAACTAATTTTTCTCTAAAAAAATCAGCCTTCTCAACATAAACATTCCTGTATGCCGAGTCCATTAGCGCCTGATCCAATCAGGGTTCAGTCATGTGTTTGTTGTCTATTCTGAACCAATAGAAATAGTATGGCGGTAACATCTATCTTTCTATCTATCTCATTATCCAATTAGAGGTATGAATCCTTCAATTGGCGCTATCAGTAAATGGAAATATTTACTTCTACTGAAACTAAAGTGTCGAACAGAAAGACAAACAGAGATTGCTTCTTTATATATAAAATAGATACCTGTCTAAACCAGTGTATAAGTATAGCTGGTGGATTAGCGTTCACAATACATCGCAATTCTAAATCCTAAATATTAGCCCTTTTATTACCCTTGCAAACAAAAAGTTTGGCTATTCAAATTTAACAATAAATTGTAAATTTTTATTCTCTAATTTTTTTATTTCCGGTAGAACCATTTCTGAAAGCATCCGATGCAAGAAAACTTGAATCATGTTGAATTTGTCATTTGAATTCAATAGAAAACGAATTGAGTCTTTGCCACAAACTCTGATTTTCTAATCCCTATCTCATGGCAACCCTATGTCGTAGACCTAAGATGTTTCAAAATATGAATTCTGTGTTAGATCAAATAATCTAAGGTTAAAATAGTAAAGGTTTTCACCATCTGGATGCAAAGATATAAGAATTATAAAACTTATGTTTTTTTGGCAAAGACTAAATTCTTTTCTTGATTTATTTCAAGAATTTAATTGTAATTTCCCACCTGTCCTTCCTCAGTGTAAACTGAGCCTTTCTCTACTCTTACCTCTACCTCGGGTTTATCTAGAAAATAATCAATTAGGGTGCTTCGTGCCACAATTTATACATTATCATAAGAAATCCTATCGTTCTGTTCGAAAATGACCAAGGACAGTTCGACCAATCTTAAACTCAATTTTAATTTTTAATAAAAATTTACACATTTCCTTAGTCAACCTTTTGGTGAACTCTCCGTCGGTCCTATTGGTCGGTCCGTCTGTCCTATTGGTCGGTCCGTCTGTCCTATTGGTCGGTCCGTCTGTCCTATAGGTCTGTCCTATTGGTCGGTCCGTCTGTCCTCTTGGTCGGTCCGTCTGTCCTATTGGTCGGTCCGTCTGTCCTATTGGTCGGTCCGTCTGTCCTATAGGTCTGTCCTATTGGTCGGTCCGTCTGTCCTATTGGTCGGTCCGTCTGTCCTCTTGGTCGGTCCGTCTGTCCTCTTGGTCGGTCCGTCTGTCCTCTTGGTCGGTCCGTCTGTCCTATTGGTCGGTCCGTCTGTCCTATTGGTCGGTCCGTCTGTCCTATAGGTTTGTCCTATAGGTCTGTCCTCTTGGTCGGACCGTCTGTCCTATTGGTCGGTCCAAACAAGCTGGAGAGCGTAAACCCTGCATTCCACACCCGCGTTCTGTTTGATCGGATTCTTTTAACATTTTCGCGAACTGTTCAATTTTTTTTTTATTTCTCTGAGTATGACACATTTTCAGGATTTGTCTTTAACTGATGCATTGATGCATTTATAGAAAAACCTTTTAATACGTATAACATAATACCATTTGAATATCAGAAGATTTAAGCCTTGAAAGCGAACAACATTTGTTGAGAAGAAAAAAATTGGAAATCTCAGCTCGGGTGAACGGTCTTTAGTGGTTTAAATGAATGACGAGTAAAATGAGTTTTTAGCATAAGTTTTTTCGGATTCCAGCTCAGAATGCACTTTAAACTTGAATATTTGGAAATATTTTAAACTTTGATAAAACATTGAAGTGGAGTGCCTTTCATCTAATTTTAATCCTATTAAGCCAATCAAAACAGAAGTTTGATAATTGATTAGTAACAAGTATCCATGAAATAATGTAGAGCTTTTTTCTTGTCTCTGAGTACGCCACCGGAGTGATAGTTATTACCTATTTAAGTATAAGACACTAATAACTCCACCGGAGTGATAGTAATTAACTATTTAAGTCTAAAACACTAATTACTCCACCGGAGTGATTAATTAATAAATTAACACTAAGACAATAATTACTCCACCAGAGATGGGGTGTACTTAATACTCAGCACACTACTCGATCGGAGGTATGGTAATAAACACTTAAAGCAATAATTACGTTCTATTGAATTAATTAATACTCAACTAGTTGATTAGTTCATTGTTTAGTTCATCCTATCGAAGGGATATAAAATAATATTAGAACATATTTTTCTTATTCACATATACTAAACGTCAAAACGGCTGAACCGATCGGGCCCAAACTTTTGTGGCAATTTACATGACCCCCAGGGATGGTATTGGACAATCACATTTGAAATATTTTGTCTGAAATATGTCGACACTTTTTTATTTTAAAAAATGCACGAGTTAAAACAGAAAAATTTGCTAAAGTTTAAGTTTTGGAGAACGGAGAAAATGGGGATATGAAGAGCAACAGCTTAAAGTAAAAACTGTTGTAAGAGAAGGGGGCATAGCACAGCGCTCTAAAACACAGTATAATATCAAATAGATTATCAAGGTGGCAACAGAGAAATGGACCAATTATACATGACGTCACAAGTGTCAAATATAACAAGGAAGACAACATTTTTACCCGTTAGTTGACATGTTTTTCAAGATTAAATAAAAAAGTGTAAAAACATAAATTAAAGAATACAAAATTGCACTTATTTCAGAGTAAGATTAGAACTTTATTATCACTATCATTGCTAATTTTGTAGGACATATAAATCGGTTGACACTTGTGACGTACTGAGAGTGTACAAATGTTGCGATCTATTGTACTTGATAATGTCTTAGGTATACATGAAAATACAATAAAATATTAAAAAAAACCTTTTTTGACTCACCAGAACCCAACCTGAACTCTTATATTAATGAATGAAGGCTGAAATGTTGCATATTTCAAGTTTTAAATTTCCAAATTTTCAGTTGAAAAATGTTATCATATTTTGTCACGGAGTTTGAAGAAAAAATTAATAAAGCTCGAAATTTTACTGATAAAAGCAGTTATCTCATTTCCCCATGGGCTTATCCAACATACAAGTTGAGTTGGGGGGGGGGGTGTCTATGAATGTCCGTAGAAAGGTTATTTTTGGCCAAAACATGTGAATTCCCAGAAAGAATGAACAATGCGAGAGAATGAATAAGAATGATTATTCATAGATTTAGAAAAATCTGGAAAGATCTATATTGACGGTTCCAAGATTCCAATTTAAATCTCTTTGTTTGAACGGATTCCATTATTGAGGAAACTTTTGAGAAAGATCACTATTGGATATTTGAAATTGGTTTTTAATTTTATTCTTTCTTTAGACAACAAAAAATATTTAAAAGTATAAGATGAACTGGGTTTCTAATTCTTCTTTTAAGAATAAGAAAGATCTCTGTTAGATATTTGAAATTGGTTTTTAATTTCATTATTTCTTTAGAACAGAGGAATCAAGAGTTTAGATAAATAAAAGATAGGGATTTGAAAAATATCCGATTGCGGATTTAGCAATGATCATCAATATTAGGTATTTGAGAATGGTTTTTAATTTCATTCTTTCTTCAAAAAAGACGAATCAAGACTTTAGAGACAAAAATATAAGAAGAACTAGTTTAATTCATTATTCTGTTAAGGATTGGCGTATATATCAATACAATTGACGACAAACGGACACAGATTTGCTCTCTAACTAGCTTGCACTCAATCAAATATAAAGCAACAAAAGATATTGCCCGCATTGTATTGATATATATGCGTATCAAGCTGTATTTCATCAATCTAATTGAAGTTAAACTTGTCAGAGATCCTTTGACCTGGTATTTTGGAAAATATTGGATAGTAATACTAGAAAATAGTGTTCACTATAGTTTATTCCTGAAACCTAACCCGTTGTAAAAACACTTCTAGATATAAAACCAGCAAAAACAAATAAACAACTATCCGTCCACTCCAAAACATTATAACCCTCCTCTCTCTCTCACCTTACTTTGAGTTTCAAGTTCGTATTCCTAGAATTAAAAACCAAAAATCTTCTATTGTTTGCAGTACGAATTGTAGAAAGATTAGAATAGAAAATTAATGTGCACTATACCCCTTACAGCTCCCCTCTGCATATACTATCTTCTACACCCTGTATTTCCTTCTCCCTGGTATACCCTACTCATTACTCCCTACTCCCTAAGGAACCCTCCTACCCCCCCCCCTCCACTCCCTACTGTGCTAGTTTATTAGGATTTTATTGCCACATGAGCTTTATAATTTTTCATTTTGTTAAGTTGTCTGGACTCTAGACTCCGTGATGGATGAAACCATAGATTAATAACAGTACAGATAGAGAACTAGATGTCGTATTTTCAAGATTTATGGGTTTTACGTTCACCATAACCCTGAGACAGAAGCCCAAAGGAGTTAGAACAGGCTCTCTCTTTGTCTTGCATGTAATTCAACGCGGCATGCGCGTAACTCCTTTGGGCTTCTGTCCAGGGTTATTGTGAATGTAAAACCCCTAAATATTAAAAAGACGACATCTAGTGTTCTATCTGTATTGTTATCAATCTATGGATGAAACCCTGGGTAAGAATTCTTTATTTCCCACCAGGGTCTCACTACTACCAACTTCACCAGGAGAGATAATGTAATAAATTTAACCCTTTTACAATCTTCAAAAATTTAAATGTCTTCTGATTCTTTGACTTATTTAAAGACAGATTGTTGTAATTTTTAAGTGATCTTCCATCTTAAATAGAAAAAAAACTCTAGAACCCCCCCCTTCTCATGTATTCCTCTCGTATCCTATGCCACAGACTACAACTTAGACGTACAAATTGTACATGCATACATTTACATTGATATAATAATATTATAATTAGCACGCAACCTTGCACCCTGGACTAGCCAGCGAGAGATGTGTTCGGTTTTTTCAATTAGATTTCGATATAGCTGAGAAAAAATTGATGTTAAAAAGCCAAATTGTGTGCTGCAACAATAACCAAACTGTAAAATCAGCGTGCCTCATGCATTTGAAAGGGGGGGGGGGCAGGTGGTACTTTTAACAGAAATTAACATAGCTTCTTCCCTCATTTTGATAAACAAAGAGAAACCACTTTTCCATTGTAAGAACACATTGATGTTATACGGAGATAATTCAAACCACACTTTTTAGAGTGGGCTATCCAGACCTGGAATCGAAAGTTTTTATATAGAGAGGGGGGGGGGCACACAGGGAAAAGGGGGGCCTCTTACTTAGTAAAAAAGCACTTATTTCACCTTAAATTTGATCGCGCATTGGAGGGGGGGGGGAAACGTCCCTGTCCCCCCCCCCGCTTTTGCTCAAATTATACATAAACCACAGATTACACAGAGGACAACGTTTAGTGTCATCTAATAAATTATTTAAAGTTTACGAGTTAAAATAAAATGTTCTATAAATAAACATTCTAAAATAAACAACTCTTAACTAATTACCTTTGAGAATGAAATTCTAGAATTGTGAATTTAATTGTTTATTGAAGCATGCAATTGCACCTCCATTTTAAAGGGTTGCTCAAAAGAAATGAGTTTTTGTGATAAAACTCTGATTTTTCTAATCCCTATATCTTTGTAACCCAATGTCAAGATTTAACAGCCAAAACTTAAACATTAAAGATTCACTCCGTGCGCCAGGGGCGTACGAGGGGGGCACCCAAAAAATGCTTTAAAATCTCACTAAAAAAGTTTCATTTAAAAATCTTTAATCAATACTGCTTTCAGTGCAAATATATATTTGATATCATTATTTATAATTATACAACATGTATAGTTTCTATGAAAACATAGATATTTTTTAAGAAACGTTTCCTTCTCTATTTTCCTTAGAGGGATTGTCTGATGAGTCCACTTAAGAAAATTACATAAATAATTTATTAACACTTGTTATATGGAAGTGTGTATATGATCGAATAGCTTACAATAGTTAAAAAAGGTATCAATATTTGTTCAAAAAAGAGGTTTTTCAAAACGTACCCCCCCCCCCTCCTACACTTATACTCTCGTACGCCCCTGCCGTGCACCATAAGGTAACGAAGATGTAGGGATTATTAAAATGAGGTTGAGACATGTAAAAGAATTGATCCTTTGTTACCAAGCCAAATTTTCAAATACCTATATCTCTGCACCCTGATGGTGAAAACCTTTGATATTTAAAACTTAGAATATCTGATCAAACAGACAAATACCTGAGACAGTTTAGAATACCTAAGGTCTACAACATTGGGATGCAAAGATATAGTTTGTGGAAAAGCCTAAATTTAATTATAAAAATATACTTACATTGTACATCAATCCTCCACTGATCCTCTATGCTAAGGTTTGGTATGAGAATGTTTCTAGCTCTACAGATAAGGAACTCCCCTTGATCCGCCCTCTCCGCCCTGTACTGTACAACCAGGCTATGTATCCGCCCTGATACGTTTCCTTCTCTACTATACACACTTACACTTAACAATTCATATAGGATTCAAGAATCTCAGGAAGCTAGGTCAAATTTAATTTTTTTTAGTTCAAAAAATATTCTGAATGCAAAGATATAGGGGTTAGAAAATTAGATTTCGAGAAGAGTAATCCTTTCTTGCGGAAAATGAAATCTTATTAAAATCCTGAATGAAATGAGAACACATTTTGATCCTAGGCTTAAAAATTCAACTTGCTAAGTCCTAAACAAAAAAGAAATGAAAAAAAATCTAAAAAATTAAATAAACCGAAAATTAATTTAAAAGGAAAGGCTTTCTGACTGGTAAACTATGATATTTCATATCCTGTGTTTGTTTGTCACGGGCAGCCGTAGTACATTTGAATTTCCGAGCCGGGTCAACCTTTCCGGTCCCAGTTTGTACTATACCTAGCTCTATTGGCAGGACTAGCCGGTGCAACAATGTTAACGCGGTCAGACTTTATGCTTCATATAGGTTGAATTTACTTTTACTAAGAGGGGAAGAGGTCCGTGTTGTATGTATGTCCGATTAAAAACTTGAGAAAAATTTGGCTGAGGAGCTCATTAGAACCAGGGAAATGTTTGGTTTTAAATGAATTGATTGGGTTGAATATTTTAAAGATAGTATAGTTTCTAGGCAAAGCTGAATTCCTAAGCTAGTACTTCAATAACATGTTTAAATTAACAAAAAATTAAAGATTAAATGCAAGGCAAATTTTATTTTGACTTTTTCCTTTTAAAAGAAAAAAACTTATTCTTATTCACAATATATGGAGCATGAATGGAATATACCGAGGTATAAATAATCTAGGTATGTGCGGAAATTGAATATATATATATATATATATATATATATATATAATATTGAGATAATGGTTTATTCTGGACCCATCGCTGTGTTTCCCATTATTCTTTATTTCATCAAATTAGAATGAATTAGGTGGAGAAAATAGAAAATAAAAACAACTGATGGATAATCTAAGGGGAGCCATAACATTACACAGATGAAAAATATTATATACAATGAGACCCAACAAACTGTGAAATAGATAGACGACTCTCAGACTCAAGTTATGACCATCAAGAACAATATATACATAAGATTACTTAGATGTCGTTTTCCTATTCCACAGTTTTGCGGGTACCACTGTATAGCATATATATATGTTCTGCCTTGAGAGTCCAAAAGAGGAAGACAAAATATCATTTTTCTATCATGGAGTCGTAATTTCGAAAAAAATTTCTTAGAATGAAAATTGTTGTTAAAGAACTGTAACAGAAAGATTTCTATTCAAATTTGGTTTTTTCTAAGCGGAAATTTGATTGAACGAACATTCATTTAATACAGATTGAGAACGTTAAGTATGGTTCCTGGAAGATTGGTGAAGAAGTTTTATTCCTTTATAGATCGATATCTCCGGAGCTGGACTGGAACCTAGAACCTGACAAGTTAGATTATAAACGGTTCCACCGGTAAAATGCGGGAATTCACGAACTATTTTAATCCGCTGCGGAGGAGATATAATGTCAAGGAGTATAGCGGCTGAGGCTGGAAGCACTAGATCACTATTAGAAACAATACATTCAACAACTTGATCCAATTCTGTCTGTTCAATGTCTTTAATCACAACTGAGCTCTTGATAACCCCGGTGTTAGCATCCGAATGGCTGGAAGACGCATGTACAGGAATTCCGCGGAATTTCCAAATAATGGCGGGAACTGGGTTTCCGCTTGTCGTGCAGTGCAGACGGATTGAGGATCCCTCCGTGACCGGGTCAGATTTTGTGGTCAATGATACACCCCGGTCATTCTCTATAACAGGTGACCTGGGGGGTACAATAACCTTAAGTTTAACCCAGGAGTTGTGTGTCGGCGTATTGGAGAAATCTATTCTGCAGCGGTACTTTCCTGAATCCTCTCGGAGGACAGGACTTAGCTGGAGGCTGGAGAACCATTGGACGAGGTCGCCTCCGCCCTTCCCTGGTGATTCCTGGTAGTAAACAAACCCTCGGTTCCCTGAAACATTTTTATGTCAATTTGATGTTTTTCTTCTCGTTAAAAAAAAGTGAAGACTAATTTCAATGCAAGTTGTTTAACTATGATTTAATGTAAATTACAGTACAGTACAGTAAAATTGGATAAAATAAAAGCGCAAAACTCAAATTCTAAATTTGGGGTCGTTTTTGAAACACACCCTTTAAATATTATTCATATTGTTTTTGATATTTTGGCTTCGACTAGGCCTTTTATTGTTATTGTCATTAGCGTTATTTATTATTGCATTAATGGAGTGGTTTTCTAATTTACATTAGAACATTAGTATAGTTAACATCAATGAGAGTAGAACTAAGGTATAGGGGTATGGGTTTACTATGTTAACATCAATGAGATTAGAACTAAGGTAGGGGTATGGGTTGAATTTGAAAACTGTTGAAACAAGTAATTTTTAAAAATCTACAGAGATATTTCCATTCTTGTATCTGCTGCATACATTTGTAAGTCACAGTTGAAATTATTGATTTTTAGATGGAAAAGCAATTCCGCTCAACTCCGCGAATGTTGAATTGCTTCCTTGTTCGCAATTATTGCGCAATTCCGCAAGCGGAAGCAATCATTGCGCGCAATTCCGCGCAACGTAATTCCGTTGATATAACTCCCTATCCTAAGTTCCATATTTACCTATTGTTGAGTTATCCTTCCAATGATGTCCTCGTTTAAATCCTCCACGTAGATCCAGACTGTAGATTGGGAGCTTATTCGAACCCTTGTACCATAGGATCAATTTAGGTCTAGTCATAAACCGACAATTTAAAATTTAAAAAACAACGAAAAAACCATGTTTTTGGGAGGAAGGTTTACACCGGTTAAACAATTTTCGTATTTTAACAATCAGCGTATTCTAAAGTCGATAAAAAAGTGTAATTTAATACATGAATTAACTTGATTTTCTTGTTAAAATACGTAAAAATTATGACGTTTCTTTTCTGTCAGTAAAAAATCAAATTAACCCTATCCCTGCTGGGGTACTTGAAAACCAGGATATGCTGGGGGGGGGTCAATTTGACCCCCCCCCCTCTAAATCCCATGTTTGATGTCCAAATATGACAAATGATACATCATTGGAAAGCTCTTGTGCTCTACTTTTAGAATCTGAAATAAATTTGCAAGTTTGCAAAAATTGAATTTTTTATTGCAAAATCAAGTTATATAGTAAAAATGTTTGCAAAAAAAAATTTGTCCAAAAAATGAAAAATTATACATTTTTGAAAAGCCCTTGACCATGCCATTTCAAATATGCAAAAATTGTTGCAAAATTTTAAATAACCTGATTTTTAATCAAGAAAAACTGAAAATGTGCAAATTTCCTTTGACAGGTAGTTTGCAAAACACTTGCTATTTTTTTCGCAAAACTTGTGCAATCCTTTTCCTTATGTCATAGGCTTTCCAAAAAGCTAAATTTTATCAAAATCTGACAAGTGAAAGTGGGTCAAAACAAAGATTTAGTTTGTTACAGTAAAAAGCACTCATTCAGGCAGTGTGCCTGAGGACTCAGGCAGTTAGTATTAAAGCCCGGTTTTAGGCCTGAAGGGAGGTCTTTGGGTATGTAATAAAAGTCAGAAAATTTCAATAGCCTCAGACCAATACTTTTTGAGTTATGGAAAAAAAACAGAGGAATAGGGTTAAAAGGATTGCCGCGTACTTTTCAAGTGTCCCTTTATCCCCGATTCACAAAGGTAACCTTGGACCTTGAACCTTGAACCTTGAACCTTGAACCTTGAACCTTGAACCTTGACAATTTCCTCCTTTGTTTTATTGAGAAACCACAATTTAATTTTTATGAAGCATTCTTGATTGAAAAAAAACTTTTTAGAATTAATCGGACACATGCCTCACTTTAAATATGAGAGTTAGATCAGTTTTTTTAGATTCCACGACAATCCTTTAAACCCGGAAAAGAAAGCGTCATGAATTTTTATTGAATTTAAATTTTATTTCATTTCAAAATTTATTCCTTTTATTAGCCAAGGTGAAGAATGTCCTTGTTATATTGATTAAACATTCCTTGGTGCATACAATACAATTACATTTTTAAACCAAAACTTGGACAAAAATAAAAATGTGATGACATAAATAAGATTAAACTAATAGTTTTAGAATTCCCACGGTACAACAGAGGGAAAAATTGGAATGAATATAAAGGAAAAATGGTATGATAAAATTAAATGGAATTTTTTATTATTTTTGAAATTTGCGCAGAATTTGAAATTTCCATCTTATTCCTGAATTTAAAGAGAATTCTGAAGAAATTGATTTAGTTTCTTTGCTGAATAGATTTATTGGTTTTTATAACAAAACTTTTAACAAACAAAATAAGTAAAGTTTTACGGCTGTTTGAACAATCATAACAATATTTTGAATCAAATAAGAAAAAAAATCTATTGGCCACACATTGGAGGGAAAATGCTGTATTTTTATAATATGTTTTCATGATTACAATATATATAAAGATAGGTTTTGAACAATTCCAAACGAGAATTCTATAATTTTACAATTTCAATCAGATGCATTCTTGAGAAAAAAATGAATTTGCAAATTGATTTACGCTGGGACTCCTAAAACTGTAGAATAGGAAGACGGTATCTTAATCTTATAATGTATTTGATTTTGTTGTCAAGCAAATAGTTTTAACAGTACAGTGATAACCAGGAAATTCTGGAATAGGAAGACGACTTTTAGACTCAATTTATGACTGAAAATAGTTTAATGAGCATCTTTGTTACCTGAATGTGTAAATCTTTGATATTTCAACTTTAATTGATCTAGCAGAATAGTACATGCCTAGATAAATTGCCATTTTCAATTTCAACTGTAACCCTCCGGTATGGTGAAGACGACATGAGCTATCTATTCTAATTTATCTAGGAGTATACGGTTTACGGAATGAGGTTTAAACGAGATTAAAATAAATTTGAAAAAACACAAAGCTATCGTTTTCCGTTGTGTAAACTTGTTTTGGAGAGGGAATGATTTTAAGCGAAACACGATCAAAAACAATTTTTTTAAAAATGCATATTAACGATTTTCGAAACGAAAAATGAATAAGATAAAATTTGTTTAACAACTAAAAGCGGAAACAACGTATTTAGTTTATTTCATTGAAAAAGAATTCACAGCAGTATGTTTTGAACTTTATCTATAACTAGAATTAAAGAATAGTTTCGGAAATTATAATAATTGACAAGTTATGGAAAAAGATTTTTAATTCCAAGATTTAATTCCAATGTTTATTGGAAATGTAGATATTGTGGCAAAAAAAAGAAAGTTCTAGAATTTGAGGTATTTTTGAAAATTGTGTTACTGTAAATTCTTTCTGGTGTGGAATTTAAAGAAAAATAGTTTTGTTTGTTAAACAATGAACTTTTGTTTAATCTTTATCTCTAATTTAGCATTAGTTAAATTATATTTGAAATTTTACTTTATACTATTTCTATCTATAAACCATGAAAGGATTACAGCAGGGTATCTATGATTATGAAGACCCAAGAACCAAACCAATTGTTATTGTGAATAGGACATGCCACTTTACAAATTAAATCTATGAAGTCCCTTTAAATTCCAACATATTTAATCCCTTAAATCATACAGGGTGATCCAACAAACAGTATCATAATTATCTATGCATTTTAGCTGCTCTATCATTTGGAACCCAAAATCATTCAAACCAACGGTTTTTATGTTAAAACTCGTAGTTTTGGTTTTATGGATTAAATAAAAAGCTGGGACAAAATGCTAAATTTACAAAAAACGAAATACTTTATTTTGAAAACCCCGGGAGCATGTTATCATCAGCGAAGTTATGAATGAACTCAGACTCACCGAATGCCCATGTTGGGACACCCTTTAACAAACTCACTCATGAATTTTAGAATGCACCCAGTGTGGAAAATGGGGAACTGAAAACCAAACCAAATATAAAGATATCCGGAAACCTGATTACAATTGACCGGAAACAGGTAATATTAGAATTAATGATATTTAATTCTTCTTAATAGAATCCTTGATTACTCCTTTAATAGTTCTGTATATTATCTTTGATTATCCCTTTAATAGTTCTGAATAAAATCCTTGATTATTCCTTTAATAGTTCTGAATATTATCCTTGATTATCTTTTTAATAGTGCTGAATATAATCCTTGATTATCACTTTCATTGTTCTTTATATAATCCTTGATTACCCCTTCAATTGTTTTGAATAGAATCCTTGATTATCACTTTAATTGTTCTGAATAGAATCCTAGATTATCCCATTAAGGTTGATTGGTCCGATGATGAAGAAGAAGCAGATGCACCTCCTCCACCCTGTCCACCTCCTCCCCCACCCCCTCCAGGACTTGGTAAGACATTTATTTGATGTGCTTTAAAGGGACTGTAAGCGTAATTTCAAGTGATTGGTACAGCCGTTTGGCCAGCTATAGATAACATATATATATATGAGCGAAGAGCTTTATTTTACCCTCCATGCCCTAAGTTTTTAAAATAATTCTTATCCTTGGATTAAAAGTGAAAACAAGAGAAGTTATCAGGGGAATTTATAAAAAAAAAATTTTACCAAAAACTATCTATAAAAAGGGAGCTGTTTTTAAAAAGTTATTTCACTTTAAAATGAACAATACCATACGTCTATTTTGTGACAATTCATGATTTGAAATGATTTAGTCAACCTAGTTTAAGGTTAAATAGATGTCCAGGTATATTTAATACATCTTTACATTTTCAATACAAGTGATATTTCACACATTTTGCTTCCTTTCCTAGTTTTGCAAAATTTCAGAGATTTTAATTATTGCTGCTTTCTATTAAACATTTAATAAGAAAATCCTTTCTTGGAATTACTGCAGTGCAAAATTTAGATTAAAATTCTAAATTTTAGAAAAATATTTGGCATTTTACAAACTTACTGGCTTGGGGACCCAGCTTTGCCTGGTGTTTTCCATATAAAAGTCAAACTATGAAGATTCTCGTGGTTCTACTGAGTTCTCCAATCAAATTTTGAGGCAAATCAGTCAAGGGGTTCCTAAGTTATGATCGGACATTCAATTCAGACAGACAAACGAACAGAGATTACTCCTTTATATTTATAACAAATAAATTCAATATATTTGCGGATTTCTACACAAAGAAGAGTATAAAATGGCCGAAATTAGTTCAATTCACACAGAGTATAGATCGAATACATACAGGAAACATAGTATTTCACTCCCTGAGTTGAAATTGTTTAATTCTTGTAAATGCACAGTACATCACTATTGCTGTAAATGCGCAGTACATCACGATTGCTGTAAACACCGTTNAAAATATTATTGAGTTTGAATATAGCATTCCCAAAAATATTGAAAAAACGTCATGCATGATTAATATTTGTCTTGGTTCTCCCTAAATTTTCATGTTTAGTTGGACACACTGTATTTAAAGAAATTGATTCTTTGCCAAAAACTCTGATTTTCTAATCCCTAAATTTCGTCGTAGACCTTAGATATTTAAAACTATGAATTCTTTTAAATTTACACCATCAGGTTGCTAAGATATAGGAATGACAAAATTTGAGCTCGAGGAAAAAATTCAATTCCTTTGTACATAAACAAGAATTTGAAATCCCCTCTTAATATAAAGTGGCCATGGGGTCTCATTTGGGGTTTAATCATTTGAAACTTTTACTTTTGAGATGCTGAAATTATTACCCATAAACTCCGGTCTAGAACACGCCTCTGTTAGACAATGGCATCCCTTTCTTTGAGTAATTTCTAAGTTATCTCCAGGTTGATTAATTTCATCCATGCTATCTCATGAACTAAGCTATTTCAATCATTCGACTTAAGTTTACAATTTGAATATCGAGCTCGGCCAATGTACCTTAAAAGGAGGCTATGTAACATAGTCGAACCGAGAGTACAGTATTATAGAGAACATTTTCAGGATTCATTTAATACCATTAAGAGGTTTTTATGATTTAATTTATATTTGTTTAAATGCTCCTAAAGCCGGCTTGTGAACAGCTGACTTTAACTCAATCGGAAATTAGCCCAATCGATATAGCACCGTATCTGTAATTGTTATCAAACGTACCTTTATCCAAAAGGGATATCCAAAAAAGAGGATTAAGAAGAAAATCAAAAGTGTGCACATTGGATTCTCAGATTAAGCGATCAGGATTAAGGATATCTAAAGTTTTCAGCTCTGACAAATGTTTAAAAAGTACGATTTTAAATTTAGGGGAAGTTTAAATTACGTGTACAAACCTTTTACAAGTTTTGTTTAGTTTGTTTACGAAAGTGAGAAGGATACTAAGAATGCAGATATTCTCAAGGAAATTCAAAAAGGAGCCAGGCTTAGACACGTCAGGTGTAATGATAGGAGTAAACCAAATCTCAGAGGTTAGACGACTTAATTATTTATTTTTGATTCATATTTAGTAAAGAACAAAACATTTATGAAAGTAAAAATATGATACAAACTGTAATTTCAATTCAATTAAAAAAGAAATTGTTAAGGTATTTTTTCAAAAATCCAAACATTTTTTTTGGATTAATAATAAATTTTATTTAGGTATCAAGCAGTTTAAAAGGCAGTTAACTAAAGAAGAAAAGGTATATTTATAATAAGTGAAAATCAGAAAAAGCTTAATCATTATTTTTTTCCAATTCCAAATAAGATTTATTAGTGGGATTCAATGAAAATTATTGCATACCAAAAAAAACAGCTTATTAAAAAGGAATGAGTACTGTTATCATAATTTGCCACTAGGTTCAAGGTTTGAGTGTAATTGAGGATTTACTGGACGATAAAGAGGACTTCGAGGATTTGGACAAGATCAAAGACGACCTTGGTAAAACACTTGTCAATCAATCAATACTATTTGAAAACTGAACTTGTTGGTAAAGCTGCTTTTTCTAGAATCTACAAAGCAGCTACTGGAGCTTGAGGTGAGGTCCAAGCAGCTTCTAGAGAAGGACAATAAGAAGCTTCAAGCGGAAATAGAAAAACTAAGATCTGAGTTTGAAAAATTGCAAAATGGAGGAGATAAAGAGACAGTAAATAATGGAACACAAAATAGGTAAATCTGAAATGCTCTATAGTTTAAAGAGACTCAAGTTTCACGTGACTCTCCGTTTGCAGAGTGGCAGGTTCTTAACGGGACGTCATTAAAAGCACTGTCTGATCAAGAACGCTTTAGATAATGATATACACGTTTTAAATTGTTACTCGGCTCCATAATAAAGTAACTTTCGGAAATATGCCCAAGGAGCAAAGGAGAATAAAACGCTTTTTCAGGCTAAAAAACGACAATATCTTCCTCAGTTTTGATCAGAATAAGGTTTATCGGGTACTGTTGTGAATTGAGATTACCCTTCTTTTCATAGAGTGTCACTTGAAATTACACTTTTCATAGTGTGTCACTTGAAATTATTAGAGTGTCACTTGAAATTGTACTTTTCATAGTGTGTCATTTGAAATTATTAGAGTGTCACTTGAAATTATTAGAGTGTCACTTGAAATTATCAACCAAATTACAACTTATTTAAAAACCAAAATGCATTGCATGTTAAAATAATGCTATTAATTATTGTACAATTTAGTTAATTAATAATTTTGATTAATTAATTTCTAAATTTAACAATAGATGTTTTAGATAATTTCAACAGAATAATTTTTTCCATTAAAACCTTCTCTTTAAACTAAGATTTCTGAAAAGTATGAAAAGGAGGGAGTTAAAAGAGGAGGGGTGCATAATTAATGTTATTTCCCGGTAAGAGAATCAATTTAGTTGGACCATGGAAATTCTAAATGAATTTTCTGCCATAGCTCATGATTTACATAAAACAAAGAATAATGAAGTAAGATCCAACTTCTATAAAATTCAAGTCTAGGTGGTTTAAAAATGGTAATAAGTTTAGCAGATTTCCAAAATTTATGTTCTATAAAAGTTTGCTTTATTACACAATGTAAATTTTGTACTTTTGCAGCAGATATAAACGTTCATCAATGAACCAATTAGAATGCTTTGTTCAGACTAAATCTCTTAATTTTTTTGTTGTTGCAAATTTTGCTTTGTGCAAAAAGCTCTACAATTTTTTACATGAAAGATTTTCTTAAATCCACCTGAAATCCAAAACACACGTTGAAAACAAATCAAATTGGATATTTGTGTGGTGCGCTATCTTTATTATTAAGTAGTAATCTCTGTTTATTTGTTTCTGATCATAACTCAGACCCCCTTGACCAATTTGCCTCAAATTTTTATTGTAGATCTCTGTTAAACCACTGCAGAGTGTTCTTAGCTCACGGTTAAATATTATAAATTGAGAATAGGTTGACTTTTACAGGAAAACTAGTTTCCAGGCAGAAACCCAGGACCAGATTCAATAAATTTGAGCCATGTCTAGTGACGGTTCAACCACGTATCTTAAATCGGTGATTCAGTGTAGTCTGGGTTTCCAAACAAGTTCAAGTTTGAAAAATATACTTTCCAAAGAAGAAACAGAATTTAGTTTTTATTCAAGATAATCTTAAGGTCCTTTTATCTCTATCTTTACATCTATCTATCTATCTATATATCTATCTATCTATCTATCTATATATCTATCTATCTATCTATCTATCCTTCTCTCTATCTATCTATCTTTCTTTCTATCTATCTATCTATCTATCTATCTATCTATCTATCTATCTATCTATCTATCTATCTATCTATCTATCTATTGTATGTTTATCTGACTCGACAAAGCTTTGATGTTTTAATTAAAATGGTTTCAGACGGAGTTCAGTTCAGGAGAAAAGAAGAAGTATCATTAGACTCACATCTGAGAGCTTACCAGACACAGATATACCAGATATACCAGAACAGGTGTAGTAATATACCAGATACCAGACACAGATATACCAGATATACCAGAACAGGTGTAGTAATATACCAGATACCAGAAACAGATTTACCATATACCAGCACAGGTGTAGTAATATACCAGATACCAAAAACAGATTTACCATATATACCAGCACAGGTGTAGTAATATACCAGATACCAAAAACAGATTTACCATATATACCAGCACAGGTGTAGTAATATACCAGATACCAGGCACAGATTTACCTGAACAGGTGTAGTAATTTACCAGATATACCAGACAATGATATACCATATATACCAAAAATAGGTGTATCAGATATACCAGAACTTGTGTCTAATAATAAACCAGATATACCAGACAAAGATAAACCAAATATACAAGATCAGTTTTAGTATGTAAACCAGATATAACATACTTACCAGTTATACCAGGTATACCAAAACAGGTGTAGTATGTTGAAGATCTCTTCCTTGGTGTTGTGGCCTACTGTGATGATTTTCTGCTGATGTCTCCTACCAGAAATGGTTTACGAAACCAACTGCAACTTTGTGAAAAGTATGCTGAGGAGAATAATATTTCCTTTTTAACAAATCCAGATTCATCCAAATCCAAGTCCAAATGTATTTATTTTACTTGTGGACATTACAGAAAACCGGTGAAGGTCGTCTTTAATCATCAGAAGCTGCCCTGGGTCAGTCAGGTTGACTATCATCTTGGTCATATCATTCATGAATCAGGTTCACAAGATGTAGACTGCAGAAAGGCTAGAGGTTCCTACATTGGATCATCTACTGAATTATTGGGAATTTTCCATTTCTGCTCACCACTGCAAAAGTTATCTGCTGTACAAACTTATTTTTGTTCCTTTTGTGGAAGCAACATTTGAAACCTTTTCAGCAAGTATGCCTATCCAACCTATCGATCTTGGAACACTACAGTTAAAGTTTGCTGGAACTTGCCACAGACTACACGTACTTATTTTGCGAAGAATTTTTCTTAATAATTTAACTCTGTGAAATTTCTCTTGCTGAGACGATTTGCCAAGTTTGCCCCGTCTATTATGCATAGTTGGAATCCACTGATTTGGCAAGTTGGATCGATATCTGCATATTCTCTACAGTACGACTTTGGAAGCAACATTTCAAATATCTCCGACGAATTCTTTCTAGATATACTAAACATCCCGCCAAGAGCCATCTTTAAAGAATTGGGCCGCTTACCATTCAAGAAGAAGATAATATTGAATGTCTTCAGCATCTCCTGTTACAGCGCCGGGAATGTGAAGAAGACGACAATAGAGAAGAATTAAAGTTGTTAAATCACAACTTATGTATAAATTGATTTATAGTGATATATAATCTCTAATCTAATATCTGAACCAACTTTATGTGTTGGACAATCATATACCAGACACGGTATAGATAAACCAGATATACCAGACACGGTATAGATAAATCAGATATACCAGACACGGTATAGATAAACCAGATATACCAGACACGGTATATATAAACCAGATATATCAGACACGGTATAGATAAATCATACATACCAGACACGGTATAGATAAATCAGACATACCAGACACGATACAGTGATGTTATTGATAACCCAGATAAACCATGGACACAGTATATAAACCAGATATACCAGACACCCTTAGATATACCAGATATTATACCAGGATATACCAGACACCCTGAAATATACCAGATATACCAGACACGGTGTAGATAACCCAGATAAACCATGGGCACAGTAGATAAACCAGATATACCAGCTGTACCAGCAAGACACACGTAGATATACTAGATATACCAAATATACAAAAAAAAATACCAAACAATAGATTTACAAAAGTAATTCCAAGTGAATTAGAAACAATGCCCACTTTCAGCTTTCAATCCCCTGCAGTTTCCTCTATTTGTTTAAATTAAAAATAGTTTTTTATGCCCTTCACAATGCATAGAAAAATATTTGAAATCTTACAAAAGAAAAATAAATATTTAAAGATAAACTGATTTAATTTTATAAATTAATAAAATGTATGAACTCATTATATTCAAAACATATCATTTTTTATAAACATTTTTTTCTCTTAAGTATTCTCATTTTTATATCGTATTAAACATCATAAAAGAATAGATTTAAAGAAAGATCTATATTTATACATAAGATGTTTATCTGATAAACATATGGTTTCCATCAGACATACCTAAGGTTTCCATCAAATATACATATGGTTTCTTTCAGATATACATAAGGTTTTCATCAAATATACATAACTGTTTCATCAGATATACACATAGAGAATAGAATATATAGAGAGGAATTTACTAGAAAAAAGTGTAAAACGGCCATTTTGTTGTACTGTTTCCATACTGCAGGTGTACTTCACATATTTATGCTAGTTTCCATCAGATATACATAAGGTTTCCATCAGATATAAATAAGGTTTCTATCAGATCTACATAAGGTTTCCATTAGATTAATACATAAAGTTTTCATAAGATATGGTTTCCAGGTTGTGAATCTTAGATGAAACTCTCGAATTGAATGGTAACTTAACAAATGTAATGACAAATATATTCTGAAAAGAAAGTATTCCCTAAAAATGAAACATATTGTGAAGGATAAACTATTAGGAGATGTTTATTAAATTAAACGATATAAGCCAGTTTACTAAAAAATGCATACAAAATATATAAGAGTAGAAACAATTTAATCATGATTTAATAATGGTCTTTTACCTCTTTACAATATTCGCGAACACTCTCTTTAACTACATATTGTGATGCAGGTGGTCGACGAGTTGGAGGAGTTGAAGGAGGAGGCCGACGAGGCGAGGAAGTTGGCTGAGGAGTGGGAGGCTAAATACAAGGTAAACATTCATTAAAGGGACTGTAAACGTAATTTCAAGTGACCCTCCATACAAAGATGGTAAGGCAGGATTTACTACGGTACCCTTCCTCTAAAGCTTTGTCTGATCAAGTATGTTTTTATTTCTTTAAACAGTTTATGTTTATTTGCAGTTGTTTCTCTGCGAAAGTGACTTTCGAGCCAGAAAAACGATTGTATCTTCAACATTATTTTTATCAGAGTAAGGATGTGATCAAGGGTAACGCTATAAATTAGACATTTCCATCTTTGCATGGAATTAAGGTACTTAAATATACGCTAACAGTTATAATCCCTTTATAAGGAACTGAACACTTGCCACAAACTCTAAATCTCTAATCCTCATGTTTTGAAATCTGATGTAAGCCAAAAATATTAAAAATTAAAATATACATTTTCCTCCCTGTGCAACAAGGATTATAGGAGACACGTAGTAAACTAGAGGTTTTGATAAAAAATCCAGTGTCTAAATTTTAGAACCCATTTTCACCCGATAAATGTAAATTTTTCGTATTTACTATCTACTTTACATTTTTAAGTATATAAGGTTTTTTGACTGATTTTGAAAGAGAATTCAAAATTGTAAATGTTCCGATGCAGACAGGATCTATTTCGTTGTTTTTAACCGTTTGTTACTGTGGAGGTCGTTTTCTGTTGACTCTTGAATAAATTTCAAAATTGAACACAGGCAGCACCGGGCACGCTCAGTTAGTATAGTACATCATAGTTCAATTGATTTTTATTATAAGTTCTATCTTCATTCATTTTAGTACAACGATATATATATTTATATATATATATCGTTGTAAATAATATAAACTCTATTAAAGAATTTATGGAAAAGTTTTGACAGAGCAGTTCTCGTCAAAACTTGTATAAAAGTCTAGCTCTATAGAGTTTCAAGATTATAGAATCCATTTTTTATAAGTTCTCATTGGTTTAAGTGTTGGAGAAAACGTATTTTCTCATTAAATCTATCATAATCAAATTATAAGATGCGAAAAAATTATGTGTACATTTTGTGCAACTTTTACAATCTTTGATTATGTATAAATGATTTCAGAAGTTTATGAAAATATGAAAAAATAGGGTTGAAGGTGCTCAAAGCGTTTAAAGGAAAAATACACAATTGGACTTAGAGAAAGAAAATACTTGTATTTCCATGATTGCTGAGATTAAGTTTTAGCTGCACAGTTCCTCCCTCTGGACCCACTCCACTCTGCACAATATTTGATAACCCCAACATACCCCTTGAGCAAAATACACAAACTGCAAATAAAAATAAACAATTAAAGGAAACAAAAGCTTTGATATATAATTCATACTTGATTAAACAAAGCTTTCAAGGGTACCTTTGAAAATCGGGCATTGTCCTCTTCACATGCGGGATCAATTAAACTACGCACAGTTCCTTTTAGAAGACGACTTTTACCTGAGTTTACCTGTTGTTAGGAAATGCAAAGACAGATGGAGGATCTTGAGGTAGGTCAGACTACAGGGAGCAAGAAGCATTCAACAACAGAATACAACCAATCCATCAGCCTCGAGGAGGAGGCGGAGGTTGCTATCGGTCAGCAGGAGACTGGAGATGATTGGGTTCAGAAAAGGGAAATCCACCAACTCCAGGTAGATTCAAACCTTACTCCTCCCAAAAAGATTCACCGATCTCTTATTGGTCTAAACATAGTATTTGATTCAACTTGTCCAATCAAAATTCTACCTCAGGTTTGGAGTTTTGGTTTAAAAGGCGCTAATCTAAAGCCAGCTCAACCGGGTTTAATCAATTTGAGCAAGAATTATTTAAAAATGGTTTAATTAAAGCAAACTATACCATAGATATACAAGAATCATGTATATCTATGCAAACTACATGTAACACCCAAGACTAACCAAAGTGAGCAGCATTCGGTTTCTTCTATTTGAAATCAAACGCGTGTTTTGGTCTATAATTCAACAATCATTTACCTTACGGATTTGTTTATTCTATACTTTTTCATTCAAAATACTTTCTGGATTATTGACAGAACCGTTAAATCCACGTGATAACTGAATATAGTTTTAAAATGTTAAAAGTTCTTTAAAAGTAAAAAACCAAATAGAAACGATGAATAACGGTTTGTCAGTTCAGTGAGCAACCTCAAATTAAAATTACATTTAGTCCCAGGAATAAAATAGATTTTTCGAACTACAACAGATACGAACTATAAAGTACTTTATTAAGCTCATATTAGTAAACAATTCAACTGCAGATGTGAGTTTTCATTAAACAACAAATTTTCAAACTTCATCAATTATTCAATAACCCAATATTGTATTTTCAAAATGCTATCATCTGCCAGTTAATTTGGTATTAAAAATTGTTTAATTTTAATTTTAAATAATGCATCAGAAAAGCAAAAACATTCAAAAGGTTTTAATGAATTTATGTCACCTATAAAAGGGTTTATTGACTTTAAGAGGGTGTACAAAAATCTGAATTTTTATCATACATTTTCACGAAATGGAAAATATTTACTCTGAAAAAAAAAATTTAAATAAAAGTTGGAGGCTGATAAGGGGTGGAGGGAGAAAGCGCTGCGGATGGCACAGGCTTGGGACATGTCATAATATTGAGTAAAAATGCATCTTCTATATAATAAAGCTCTTCGCTCCTATATATATCATATATACACAATGTATACATGGGACTTCATCAAGGATATGATCAGGGACAAATTTATGGATTTGACCAGGGACTGGATATATATATTTTTATATATATTAACAATCCTAATAAACAATAAAATTTTCTAAAGACTTATTTAAGAAAGACATACTATAAGAAATTTCAAATTTTCATCTAACAAAATTTGTTGAAGCACCGGCATCAAATTCACCTTAGCAGAATTATTCTTCAAATTTGAAATTTCTTAGAGTTTGTATATGTGTTAGCTGTAGCTGGTAAAACAGCTGAGCCAGGCAACTACGGGCACTTCAGCTAGTTGTATATAAAGGATAGATGAACGAGGCACAAATAGATAAATAATAATACGGATAGAACACTTGCAGATGTCGTCTTTTAGGGGTTTTTCGTTTACAATAACCCTCAGGCAGAAGCCCAAAGGAGTTACGCGCATGCTCTAATTCTGTCTTGTCATTTAACACAGCATGCGCGTAACTCCTTTGGAATTCTGCCTCAGGGTTATTATGAACGAAAAACCCCTAAATATTGAAAAGACGACATTTAGTGTGCTATCTGTATTATTGTTAATCTATGAATGCACATCTCTAATCATTACTGTAATTATCAGCTCATTGACCCCTCTCCCCCGCACTGCAAACAGTCCGCTAAATGTATTCCAGATATTGAAGGAGTGAAAATATTTGGAACCTGTAACCAGGAGATATATTGAAAATCTATCAATAACATATTTATTGGTAAATCCTCGAGTTTAAAACCTCTCTCTAAACTTGTTTTTATTTTTCTAGGGAAAACTGCGAAATACAAAAGATAAAAAGGAGTTTATCATTAGAGAGAGAAATCTGCTAAACGAAAGACTAGGAAAGTTGTAAAATATCAAATATCTTGATAACCTTTTTTTATATTGGGTTTCTAGAGCGCGTCAAGCCCTTCTTCAATTTTAATATCTTATTGTTGCAGCTCTATCTGCGGCATTTTCTCTTTTTACCTTATCAAACAATAACAAACAAACAAACAAAATTCATTGATTTATAGAATTTTATGTTTTTGGGGAGGATTTTGAAAAATCGAAATTTCTAAGGTCACATTTATTAAATTCTGAGTATCCATAATTAAATCTTCCTTGGCGTCTGATGAGGTCCCACACTACCGTTGGGCTGGATCAGTTCAGCTGTTTTGACGTTTACTAGATACAAAACAATCAGAAAGACAAGCATCGTATGTTTTTTTTAATAAAAATATACTATGCTATCTGATTGTCGAAACGGCTGAACTGAACGGGCCAAACATATTTGAGGCAACTCATGTGACCCCAGGAAACGTTAATGTAATTGCTTAGATTTGCAAAATATTGTCTCCAACAAAAAATTTAATTAACCCTATCCCCGTTGGGGTACTTGAAAACCAGGATACGCTGGGGGGGGGTCAATTTGACCCCCCCCCTCTAAATCCCATGTTTGATGTCCAAATATGACAAATGATACATCATTGGAAAGCTCTTGTGCTCTACTTTTAGAATCTGCAAAAAAATTTGCAAATTTGCAAAAATTGAATTTTTTATCGCAAAATCCAGTTATATAGTAAAAATGTTTGCAAAAAAAAATTTGCCCAAAAAATGAAAAATTATACATTTTTGANTTATTGATTTCATTATCAATTCAATAATTCATAAAGTTCATATCAATTTATGTATTCAATAATCCATTTATTGATTTCATTATCAATTCAATAATTCATAAAGTTCGTATCAATTTATTTATTCAATAATCCATTTATTGATTTGATAACTTATTTGTTAATTTAATAATCAATTTATTAATCAATTCATTGATTCAATTATCAATTTATTGCGGTAATCTATCCATGAATTTATAAATTTATTGATTTAGTAATCAATTTGTTGAATTAATCATCAGCTTGATCGATAAAATTGCTTTAACGATTTAAAAATCAATTTATTTATTTACTGATCAATTCTTGATTCAATAATCAATATTCAATAATCAATTGTTATTAAATCATTCTTTTAATTTGATTATCAAAAAGTTTACTTGATAACTAACTAATTATTAAATAATAATGATTAATCGATCAACTGATTGGTTGATTGAGCGAATGAAAGAAAGATTACTAAGTTGATTGATTGATTGATATAGAAAGAGATTGAAGAAGGAGGTGAAGGAGATGAATGCCGCGTTCACGAAGGAGATGGAGGAAATGGAAGCTATGGAACTCCAGGAGAAGGAACTTGAGGTATTCATCAATCTTTCCATTTATGATTTTTCAAAATTCTTTCTGATTAATATTTATAATTTATTTCTTCTCTTTCTTTGCTTTTCTTTGCTTTAGCAAAACTTTCGAAAAGTGCAAAGTTGAAACTTGAAAAGATATGAATATGATGTTCTCCGCAAAATTAGGTTTTTGCATTAATTTTTCATATTCGTCACACATGATCCATTGATGTTATCATCAGAAAATGGTTTTATAAATTGATGGATTTTAAGAAACGATCTTGAATGGATAAGAAAAATATTATGCTTTTTATTATTAAGTCATAATCTTTAAGAATTTACACAAATAAAAAAACATACAGAGCTGAAAACTTTAGAATGGGATATCCTTAATTGTTATTAATCTTGAGATTAATCACAAGAGGAGAACAAGCATTATTCAATCTAGAGATTAAGAAAAAGACAGGATCAAGCATTGATCTCGATATCCACCAATCTGAAGTTTTCAGCTCAGTTGAAATAAAAACTTAATTTTCTGAAATTATTTTTTAACTTTTTTACCCTGTTATTCCTCTCTCTGTTTTGTTAATTGAAAGTCTAGAAGAGAACTTTGTGAATAAAGATAAAACAAGAATTTATATTTTCAACAAATTTTCTTGAAATTGTAAACCAAGAAGTTGAAATTTAATCTTAAAACAGATTAGACATGGCTAAAGGACAAATGAAAATTCTGCAAACTTTTACAAAAGTTTTATTATCTTTGTTCTCTCTCTCTTTCTCTCCTCAGAAAAAGCGTGGACTAAATATTAATTATGAAAATGTTCTACTGGGGATAAAAAGGATTAAACCCTAAGAACACTAGCCTCGGAAGGGCCGGAAGGGGGGGGGATTTAGACCCCATAGTGAAATAAAAAGGAAGGTATCAACTGTCTTCGATTTTCTTGCCTTTTACTCCTCTATGCGGAAGGCAAAGCACCTTTGACATAAAAATATTGTAAAAAACGTATGAATCACTTTTCCTTTCTTTGGATTTTGAATATTTTGTAGATTAATAGTTTTATTGGAAAGAGATGGAAGAATAGAGTATTCAATTTTTTCCTAATCAACTAAATTCTCAGATTATTTAGTTATTTAGATTCAACATTAAAAAATCGTATTTATCTACAGACACACTTGTAATTGTTGAAAACTTTGTTTTCAAGCTGTTATATATTTAAGGAATANTATTATGTATTAACAGCTATCTTAATAAATTATTTCCTAACATATTAAAATCTTTAAAAATAATGATTAAAGTTACAAACGAAAACAAGACTTTTTGTCAAATAACTAGTAATCTATTCTTACTCGTACAATGTACTTGCAGTATGATTGTATATACTGGTCACCCCTAGACAGATTTGATCTTATATAATATATCTAATTTTTGGAAAATGCTTAATAATGATATTTATTTAACCTTCAGAACTATTTAAGAGGAATTAGATTAATCTATACGTCTCCAATATATGGAGACAAAGATTAAATACAAATAGATATGAACGCAAGTAGAAATTTTGAGGTTTGTGAGCGATTGCTTAGCAGCATTTTCTTAAGAGGAAGCATGAACAGAAAGTAGTAAAGAAAGTAGTCAATATGTCTTTCTTTTTAACTTTTCTGAGAGAAATCAATTCTGAACGCAAGTAGAAATTTTGAGGTTTGTATGTGAAATGGAAATATTAGATTGAATCATAAAAAATTTATTTTTCAGAGACTTAATGCAATTAAGGTTTAAAGATTTATGAAAACTTTAAGTGTTGTTTACAAGAAAAGTTTATAAAATTAATTTTGCATTGGTTATCATAGAGGACTGCAATTCAAGCTCTTGGTTTAAAAAAAGTAGAAATTTTGAAAATCGGAGAATTCTTTCATCAAAATATCTTTTCAGAATATTAAAAAAAAAAATTTTGTTGAGTTCAAACAAACCCTCATTTTTATCCATTAGATGCATATTCTTAAAAGTTATACTCGCATTATAATAAAATTCGGAATATTCTTGTAAGATTTGAAAATCTCTTCTTACAGTGATTTAACATTTCAAGCAAGAACATATCAAAAAGATAAGTTGAATTTCCCTGGAGTGAAAACCAGAAAATTCTGAAATAGAAAGACGACTTTTAGAATCAAGTTATAACTTTAAAAAGTACAATGAGAATGAAACACAGCAATTGTGCAGTGTAAACAGACCCCTTTTACTTTTTAAATTAGTGATTTTAAAAGTGCCACGTAAAACCAGGGGCGGATACGGGGTGGGGCAGGACCTTCGCCCCCCCTGAGATTTCCTAATAGCTTCTCAATAGCACTTAAGGGAAAGAAAACCTTGTGCAAAACAGGACAGTCAAAAACATTCGCCTTCGCCGCGTCTTTTGGTTCCAAGATCTGGATTTTTTTCCGAAATAAATCTAGCACCCCCCTCACTTAAATCCTGTATCCGCCCTGAGTAAAACTACTTGCTTTGTAACAACATCTAATACACTTAGTGTAGCTTTAAAGGGAGTGACCGTCAATGTATGGTAGTTGAACTGAGAATGCAGTATTTTGGATTAATGTGAGACCTATCAGACGTGTTTACGGTGCATATTTGTTCAGTAAGAGAATCGGGGCTTGAAATATATTTCAATGACGACCACGAAAAATTCGACAGCAAACTAATTAGTTGTTTAGGAACAGATTGAGAAAAAAAACTAACTCGATATCACCGAAAAAAGCTAATCTTATTCAGTTATTACTTTCTCATTGTTCACCAAAATTTTCTGTAGATTTCCTGCAATTTTTATTGAAAAGACGACATTTGTAGAATTTGAAGAAATCTGCGAACAAATTTGTAAAGAATAAAAAATTCAATATATTGATGAAAAGAAAATTATTGATTCTAACATTCATTTATTGACAAATTTCTATTGAGAAGTATATTCCTAAACATACAATCACTTTACTTTAGAATTTTTGTCAAATTGTTAATAATTTTTGAAAAAACCTATTCGCAAAATCAATTTTCCACAATGGACAATGAAAGAGGATTAAAAAATGAATTTGCACTCTAGCTGAACAAGTATGAACCGTGAAAACGTATGATATGTCTCAAATGAATTCTAAAAAATTTCTTCACAAAACTGCATTCTCAGTTCAACTACCATACAATGCCGGTCACTTCCTTTGTTGTCGTCTTCCTATTCTATTGTTTTCTTGTTATCATTATACAAAAAATTGGTTTTCATTCAAAATTCACTTTTTGTTAACAATATAATTGTCCGCGGACTACCTCTAGATCCTAGTTGTAAAATTATCAAAAAGCACATCAAAGGAATATTTGATGATTTTTAAGTTCGGTTTTACAAATTCAATATTGAATAAACATATTTGAAGCCAGTAGGTTGAAAGCAAAACACAACAATGGAATTTGAACACTCATGTTTTTGCTCTTCTGAGAAAGGTGACATTTTTATATATTTAAGTTCTAAAAAAATTTTATTTTCGATTTTTTAGCTTATTCACCAATCTATCAAATTTGGTACAGCCGTTCTGCCAGCTACAGTCAACAAATATTCATATCATATATTATATAGATTTGTTTTATTTTAAACGTAAAAATGTTAAAAAAATTATAAAACTGTTTAGTATAAAATATTTTCCAATGCTTAAAATGTTGATTCTTAAAGAAGACAATTCTTGGGTTAACAACATTTTCATATCATTCGTCAAATTCTTTTGTTAACAAACATTTGGCTTTTCTTCTGTCAGAATGAATGCATGACGTATTAAAAAAGCAACTTGCAGAGGCTAGAGATGAACATTTTGAAAAATGTTAGGCTTTACATAATTTGGATGAGTTACTTGTATGCAAAAAAAACCTTGATTATCTAAATTTTTCTATTTGTATATGAATAACCTTTATTATATCAAATTTTTTATTTTAAACTATGTAGCAGTAAAAAAAAAACAGTTTGATATAAGTCTATAAGAATAAAAAAGACTAGCTAGAGAACCCAGTGTGGCAGTGTTGCCCACGTTACACGGAGGCACCCCGGAGATACATGTCGGCTTGTACACGGACCTCACTTCCCGAGGGGGAGACGAGGGTGCACTGAACACAGACACTCCTCAGAACGGACATAAAAGGGGACCACGTAGAGGTAGGTTGATGGGTAGCCATCCGTACTCTTTGGGCGTAGAAAGAAGCAGATCGGTTTTCCCAAAGATGGGACTTGTCCGAGTAGCGGAAGCCCTAGACGGTGGGATAGTCGTACCTGGTCTAGCAACGTGTAGCAGGACCGGCAAGGGGAAAGCTATCACACCCAGGTCATATACTGGGGGAAAAGTTGCCTTCAATTCACTAACTTTAGCCGTACTGGCCGAAGGGATGTGTGAGGAGTTATGTATTAAATGCCTTNGTTCAATAATACTTTACTATCAATGTCAATCCGGACACAACTTTATCTGTTTGGATTCCCAAACTAGTTCAATATTTCAAGAGAGTGAGTCAGGGCCTATCTGCTTTACTATCAATGTCATGCGAAAATGATCTTTCTGATTTACTATCAATGTCAAACTGGACATGATCTATCTGCTTTACTATCAATGTCATGCGAAAATGATCTTTCTGATTTACTATCAATGTCAAACCGGACATGATCTATCTGCTTTACTATCAATGTCAATCCAGACATGATCTTTCTGCTTTACTTTCAATGTCAAACCAGACATGATCTATCTGCTTTACTATCAATGTCAATCCAGACACGATCTATCTGCTTTACTATCAATGTCAATCCAGACACGATCTATCTGTGCCAGTTCCCAATCTATATCTATCTTTCAAGAAGGTGATTGAGGACGCTTCTCGTTTGCTAAACAAGAAGTAATTACTCTCACACTGTAATCAAAGCGGAGTCTGATTCCAACTGAACATATTTTGCGTTTATCTTACAAGTTCAGTTAATCCACGAAATTACAAGTTTTACAGGAAAATCGGTCAAGGGGTTTATGAGTTATGATCGGCATCCAAACAAACAAACAAACAGAGATTACAATTTTATAAAAATAAATTAATACATGCGAATAATCAATACCTTAGTGGTAATATTATCAAAGAAAAATAGTTCGAGGACTCTCTTTATATTTCAAGATTAGCTGTATGATGTGATGCACTATGAGAGACCCCTGATAAGAGTAATTTGATCTGGATCTTTGTTAGGGCTTCAAGATATCTTATATAAAATCTGATTCTGCTTCAATTCATATTACTGGTTTCAGGTTCGAGGAGAACAGAAAGGTTTCTCAAAATAAAGTCCAGTTGCTCCTAGACAGGGTAAGTGCAGAGAACCAAAAATTAATTGGAATGAAAAAATGAATATCTAGATCAATATGATCTAAATGAAATGCTTTTAAGTAGCATCAAAAATACAATATGAAATGCAAATTAAAAAAAATATCTCAAAAATGCAAAAATTTTATATTTTTCAAGTAACCAAGAATTGTTAAATTCAAAAAGAAATCATGGATGCACTTTTATTTTTACATTAAAGACTATTTTGGTGCCCATAAAAAACCCCTCAAAATTAATTTTTTACAAGAATTTTTAAAATACCAGAAAATATCAACAATCTAGAAAAATGTCTGAGGCTTGTAAGAATGAATTAGAAGAAAACTGTGATAAGAAAAAAGAAGATCACAATCTGCAGGTTTATGAAAATTTTATAATATTGCGTTGACTGAAATGAAAATATTGAAAAGTATACAGTTAGGGCAATCATGTGGACCAACAGGCCATAGAATTAGATTTGAATATTTAGAATATATATATACAAATATATACAGCATTCTTGATTGCTTTCAGTGAAATATTTTATTCTTGAAGGAACTGAGGTCAAATTTAAAGAATTTAAACCGCATCGCTGAACCGCCAAAACCCGGCTCCAATTGAGCGCTGGCTCAAATCTCGAAACACTGTATACAATTTCAAGTGGAGCCAACCAATGTTTGAGCCGCGTCTCAAATTCTTTAAATTTGGCCTCTGTACTAATAATTCATGCAAAGATGGCAATGCCCAGTTCAAAACAGCACTCTTTAAGACTTTGACAGTTTATAAAAATAACTGTATATTTCTCTCCGCCTCCGTACGAATTTCTATAAACGCGTGGTGTACGCTAGCGTACAGTGTGAAGCAGACTCAGTAACTTGAAAATACTGAATATTTTAAGTCCAAAGCGGTTTTCGAAAATCTATTTAAACATTTATTTTCTGAAACTTATAGAAAGTAAATATTAATATTTTCAAAATAAAAAAAACCAGTTTTCAGACAANAGACGATAAAAGTGTATATTTAATAATTTTTATCTTGAAAGACGATAAAAGTGTATATTTAATAATTTTTATCTTGAAAGACGATAAAAGTGTATATTTAATAATTTTTATCTTGAAAGACGATAAAAGTGTATATTTAATAATTTTTATCTTGAAAGACGATAAAAGTGTATATTTAATAATTTTTATCTTGAAAGACGATAAAAGTGTATATTTAATAATTTTTATCTTGAAAGACGATAAAAGTGTATATTTAATAATTTTTATCTTGAAAGACGATAAAAGTGTATATTTAATAATTTTTATCTTGAAAGACGATAAAAGTGTATATTTAATAATTTTTATCTTGAAAGACGATAAAAGTGTATATTTAATAATTTTTATCTTGAAAGACGATAAAAGTGTATATTTAATAATTTTTATCTTGAAAGACGATAAAAGTGTATATTTAATAATTTTTATCTTGAAAGACGATAAAAGTGTATATTTAATAATTTTTATCTTGAAAGACGATAAAAGTGTATATTTAATAATTTTTATCTTGAAAGACGATAAAAGTGTATATTTAATAATTTTTATCTTGAAAGACGATAAAAGTGTATATTTAATAATTTTTATCTTGAAAGACGATAAAAGTGTATATTTAATAATTTTTATCTTGAAAGACGATAAAAGTGTATATTTAATAATTTTTATCTTGAAAGACGATAAAAGTGTATATTTAATAATTTTTATCTTGAAAGACGATAAAAGTGTATATTTAATAATTTTTATCTTGAAAGACGATAAAAGTGTATATTTAATAATTTTTTCAAACAAATTTTTCAGGGAAATTAAAAATTTTTCTTAACCATGGGGTTTTTCTCGACCAATATTGTTTACAAAACATTCCTCACTGCTGCGCTCTGATTGTTTAATGTTTTGTAAACAACAATGAATTTCTGAACTCTTATAGCACAGACAAATTCCATTAAGTTTCTTGTAAAGTAGATTAAAATAATTATTATATAAACGTAATCATTCCTAAATTTATTTCTTTTTGTCATTGTTATTGTGTTAAAATATAGTATCTATATCTATCTCTGTTATTCTATCACAATGTTTAATCTATGGAAAATTAGATTTTTTAAACAGAAATATTGATTAAATCTCATTAAACTTTGATAGAGTTTAGTCGATGTGTTAGAATTAAGAACAAAATAATAAAATTCCTTAGCAAACTAGTATTTCCTACTGGTAAACTTAGTGATGCATTTGACTACATAAAGAGTGAATTGGAAACATAACTCACAAATATAAATGCGCACTTCTTAATCGGGATGAATACAAACATTATTTCATTCCTTCTATTCGATTTCTGCTCACTGTTCATACAATATCACAAAGCCATCTGAAGAAACTAAATATATTCAATGATAAATTTCTGAAAAACTGGACTGAATTACCAACCTGTGAAACAAATGCTACCTGGCCTAGACATCAATATCCACCCTGTACAAAACAACTATACATACACTAGGATAAGAATACTAAAGAGTATTAGTATTAAATTGTAAAGTTTTATAATGTTTAATGTAATTTTGCTTTAGACAAATATAAATGATGAATATATAATAGAATCTCATTAAACTTTGATAGAATTTAGTCAATGTGTTAGAATTAAGAACAAAATGATGGAAAGCTAAATGTTTGCTTAATAATCTTTTTTAACATTGAAATTTTAGCGGGAAATTTGGCAAAATGTTTAAGAAAGCGCATGCAGAAGGAGCTGAAGGAGATGGTGGAGTCATTGGCAAAGGAGGTGGAGGAGCAGGTCTCAATCACCTTTCCTGATAAGGAGGGGGAGGAAAATAACTGCAAGGAGAAGAAGGTATTCCAAGAAATTTATTAATTAAAAATGTGTTTTCCATCAAAGTTGGTCTATAAAAACATGTATTGCCTCACCCACATTCTTTGACTCCAAACCTTTTTTAAGGGTATGTGGAAGGGTATAAATACACCTTTTTTATCTTTCATAACTCATAAGCAAGTGTTTTTTAAATCAGAGCAGGTAATTTGAGTGCTTGATAAACATAATCACTTTATAATGATATCTATAGTGAGCACTTTTGAATTATCTTGATCTTGAATTCCCACAATTTTTCTGTTTTCTCATTGGTTGACCACATAATTCACTGATCGGCTGTTCTTTTTCTGCACTTCAGCGGAACTCGAATAAAGATTAAATTAATATGTAGATTAAGAAAAGATCAAAATCAATTCTAGCTCTCAATATCCATGATTCAAAAATTCCCAGCTCAGCTAATATTTCTTATTGTACAGTTTTGTATTACAGTTATACAAAGTACTAGAGGACGAAACAGTTGAGTTGGATCTCTGTAGCTATAAGTCTAGGATTATTAAGCTCAGCTTGAGATTTTCATGCTAGTTACCAAACCTTAGCCGCTAAATTCATTTGAGAGAATAAAGAATGTTCTTGGCGGATTTAAGACTGTAAGCACAAGTCTCCAGGATTCTTCGATTGAGGGCTTTATGCCCAAGGCCAAGACAATAAACTTATTCTAGATTAATATGAAATTATTTAGGAGGACTCTGTCCCCATTAAAGAGGATGAAGATGAAGATGAACTGGAATGTACAGCAACATAAATTTTAAGGTAATTTTGTTTGTTAAACATTAAATATTTTTAGCGGCAAANACAAAAAGTAAAAGATTGCAAAACATGTACTATACACCGATGCGTCGCTTTTAACCCTTTTCTATTTTTTGACGCAACAGTTAGAAGTAAGATTTGTAGCGATCACCATCAAATTCAATTCGACGTTAGCCTATACCCTCTTTTATTTTTAGTGAACACTCCCTTTAATTCTGATTTTATCTTAAAGTTTAAATATCAGTCTATGGTGGTTTGTGGTGAACCAGAGAGCCTTTTATAGCTTCTAATTCTTCACATCTTCTCATTTTAAATCATTTCTTTGGATGTGCAGTGTGAGTGTACATTTTGTATCCAGCAAGGAACTAATGCAAGGAAAGTTATTTCAGAGCTATACCCATTTTTTGTACTGCAGTGTGCTGTCTTTGGGCGGAGAAGTAAACACAAGACGGATTTCACAGTCTGACATGGAATCCATTTTCACAAAAATAATCTATGAAATATTCTCGTCATAGGAAACTATAATGTGAATTTTTCAAAATTATCAAAATTAAATGCTTTTATTC